ATTTTACATAACATAACTAAATACTGAAAAATATTTTTTAATTTATTTTCTATAATACTATTAAATATTAAAAAATAATTTATTTTTTAAAAATTTACTCTTTTTTTTAATTTATCTTCTTTTTAAAATAACTTTTCTACTAACAACCAATCATCCGTAACGCTAATTAACTTTCCGTCAAAAGCACGATCTTCGTAGACAACGGTTTTCTGGCGAGTGAAAATGGACGGCTATAAGTGAAGTGGTAAAGGGTACTCACGCTTGGATTAAAAATCTGCGTAAAATTTTTAGATTTAAACTAGACTAGTGGCATGCATGGAATGAGTTGCTTGCCGGCTCAAATCTTTTCTAATATAAAAATGATGATATCACTTTTAAAAGAGTAAAAATATTTGGTATCCGAAGCAGTAATTCAAATATATTAAATAAGTTTGGAAAATTTAATAATATAATTTTAATAATTTTAATCAAAAGCAAAAAAAGATGACAATAACCAATAAAAAAAATATTTATCAATATTAAAAAAGATATCCTCTATTTTTAATAAATAAAAGTTAAAGGATAATTGTTTTAAAAAAAGGATTAGAAAACCTGATTATAATTAGCATGCAAACTAGCGGTTTGCTAGTGAGCTTGGAATAATTCCAAACAAAAAAACAAAAAGAGAATATAACAATGAAGGTCAAGTACTAAGAAAATTAAACAATAAAAGATAAATCTAGAAAAAAAAAATTAAAACAAACCTAAGTCAATTAGAGTTAACTTAATTATCTTGTAATTCAAGATATAAGATACGAATAACTTCATAGAAAGAAAAACGATAACAATATTGAATCTAAAAGATTAGAAAACCTGATTATAATTAGCATGCAAACTAGCGGTTTGCTAGTGAGCTTGGAATAATTCCAAACAAAAAAACAAAAAGAGAATATAACAATGAAGGTCAAGTACTAAGAAAATTAAACAATAAAAGATAAATCTAGAAAAAAAATTTAAAACAAACCTAAATCAATTAGAATTAACCTAATTATCTTGTAATTCAGGATATAAGATACGAATAACGATAACAATATTGAATCTAAAGGCTTAGTAATGTCAATAATTAAAAAAAAATCTAAAAAGAATTGAAATTAAATGAGGTTGATCATGAAATTTGTGACTTGGATCATGAATCAGGTTACCCACAAAAAGCAAACCTACAAAATTTATAAAGAAAAATTCTCAATCATTCAAAATTAAAAAAATAAAACAAATAGTAATCAAAAGAATATGAGGACTAAATCTAGCATAAAAATTAAATATATAAAAAAATGAGGGATAAAATTGAAAAATGACATAAATAAAGAAAAAGATAAGAACAAAAAAATAGTAATAAAAAGAGTAAAAATTAAATTTGATATAAAAATTAAAGAAAATAGTATAATAAAGGATGTAATTGAAAAACAAAATAAATCAAGAAAGAAATAGAAAAAAGAACAATAAAAAGAATGACAACAAATATGATAGATAAAAAAAATTAAAAAAATAATAAAATCAAAAAATAATTTTAATTTTATAGATTATTTTAGATAAAACAAATAAAAATAGAAAAATATAAACCAAATCCAAATGAAAATAAAATTGAAGGGCTGTTTCAATAAATTGAAAGGCTTGATGCAAGAATTAAAAAAGGAAGAAAGAAAAAATTATAGGTGCCAAACATGTGGTTCATTCTATACACTCGATTCTCAAGTATTAAGAGGCTGTTGGGGACATTCAAATGCCTCTTCTAAAGTTGATTATTTTTAATAATATTTATATTTATTTAAATATTAAATTATCTTGCAATGAACTTGATATAATAATAAAAAAATCATGATGAATATACAAAAAACTCCTTGAAAGCCAGTTCAACAAATTTTGCTTTCAAAAATACTTTAGTCATTTTACTGATTTGAAAAGGTAGAAAAAGACTAAAAACCTCCTATATTTCATTTCATTTTTTTTTTATTTCAAGACTAATTAAGTCATTTTACTACAAAAAAAAGTAAAAGATTGACATTCCCATTCAATTTGATAATATCAATTGAACCACATAAAATAAAAGAGTATTTCGCTCCTTCATCTTTCATTATAGTTTCTTATTTAATTTAAAGTTTATTTAATATTGTGAAGTGGTTATTTTTTAAAAATTTTTTTATTTAAAAATATATTAAAATATTTTTTTTTTAAATTTTTAACATTAGTATATCAAAATAATCTAAAAATAAAAAAAAATTATTTTAAAAACATTCTAAAAACAATTATGTATATTAATAAATTACATATTGTGTTACGAGATAGAATAAAAAAAATTAAATTATTTTAAAAACATTCTAAAAAACAATTATGTATATTAATAAACTACATATTGTGTTACGAGATAAAGGCCAGTCTCATTGGCAAGATAAGTGTGCAAGGCAAGTAGGCCAATGAAATAAGATATTAGGTATATCAAATCAACTTTCTTTTCAGCAAGTCAAAGCAAAACAATTCAAATCTTGTTCAAGAGAAATGTAAGTTACAAGATAAAGTGATAAAGTATTGTGTTATTATATTGAAATATTATTCTTATTCTTATTTATTTATATGATAGTCTATCATTATAAATATGTACTTGATGATTTTTTGTTTTAATCTAGATTCACCTTACTTTGTAGAATAGCTTTTTAACATAATTACAGTATCTGGTATCTAACTAAAATGAGCTGAACACAATTATTTGATTAAATCTATTGTTGAAATCCAACAACATAATTCATGCCAATAAAGATTACTTTATTACAGTGATATAGTCTTTGATAATTATTGAGATATATATATATTGATACCTATAAAACTCATAAAAAAGTAGTCTCAAGGTAGTTTGAAGATTTTTTTAATTAAAAAAATATCAAAGTATTTTCCACAATGATTTTGGCCTTCAAGAGAGTTGAAAAACAATTTTAATTTTATAAATTATTTTAAATATAATAAATAAAAATTAAAAAAATATTAATCAAATCCAAATAAAAATAAAATTAAAAAAAAGAATTGCTTCAAGAAATTGAAAGGTTTGACGCGAGAATTGAGAAGAAAAAAGAAAACAAATGAAAATAAATAAAAAGTTGTTAGCGCTAAATATACTGTTTATTCCATACTCATGTCTCTCAAGTAATGAGGGGTTGTCGGAAAGATTACAACACTGTCTTTAAAATTTAAATTTTTAATAATATTTATATTTATTAAAATATCAAATTATCTTGTAATAAATTTGATATAACAAAAAAAATCATGATAAAAATACAAAAAAAAACCCATTAAAAGCCAATTCAACAAATTTTGCTTTTAAGAGTATATATATAGATGAAAATATTAATATCGTAATGACTGGATATTGCCGATATTGTCCTATCATCTTTATGCTGAAAAGTGGTTGTTTTGTCGAATGTATATTACTTGCAACACTCCTATATGTGGAAGTATGGAGAGAACATATTCAGTATAAGAAAAAGATTCCTATAGTAACTCACTCATGGACTGTGATATTTTTGTAAATCTTGAGGATGATTTTGTCTCATAATTTAAGAATTTGTGTCAATTAGCTTAATTTATCCTCTGTTTTTTTCCAATATATTTTCACAAGTAGTCTGATAAAAGGGCTGGATTACCGGATGACAGCAATATTGACATGCTCGGCGCAGGCTAGGAATGCCAGTGGTAGCTGTACAGCAATAACTCAACGTATCGTGACTTAGTTTATTCGCCAAAAATGGAAGACTCAAGATTTAACTTCACAAATTTATTATCGGACGATCGATCAATGTATTAGTGCAGGCAATACAATTGTCCCATTCTTCCTCTATCTGTATAATTTTTCAAAATTGTTTCTTCCAGCTCCAAAATCTCAAACCCCATCTGCTAGAGCTAGCATGCAAGCACATGCACAGGTCAACAGCAAAAGGGAAGTTCGAGTTATATTGTGGGATAAAAGGAAAGAAAAACTGGCAAGGTAGATGTGAGACATTAAGGAAGGAGCAGCTTGAAAGGAAATAAATAATGGGATGGGAAGTAGCATGAACAAGGAGAGCACAGAAAATGGGAGCGAACCCTTCTCCTTGTCAATTATTCTTACCTTCTCTGATCAGCGAAGCCAAATGCTAAGATGCCTCCTTTCCATCTCCATACACTCTTCTACAGACCTACCCTCCTTCCTGTTATGGTAAAACAACTTGATGCACTCTCACTCTCTCTCTCTCATGAATGATAGAGCTGCTCAACAGAGGTGGAGTAAATAACAAAGAAAACAACACATGAAACAAATAGGCATAGTCAGTTCCATTTACTTACCATCATAGAAATTTGGACCACTCTCCCTTAACCTCAGATATTGAGGCTGAAGTTTCCAAGGGTTGTTTTTAGTAGCATTAAACTAATCTGAAATCAAGAAAAGTATGATCAGATAGGAATTCTTTAAAGTAAACGATCAGACAGAAGTGCTAATTATCCTAATTAAGTAGGTCAACAGACAAAATTGATTTATTGTAATCTGTGGCAACAGCCTTATGGAAAGTACATTATGTACGCATAATGAGACTATGCACCTCATTACATTAATTGGCATAACTCATACGTTAAAAACATGTCTAAAGCCTATAAATTCTTACCAATCTATAAGAAGACCCACGTACTTCTCTGTGCTTCTCCTCTCTCTCGCTCTCGCTCTCTCTCTCTCTCTCTCTCATGCACAGGGAGACACAGACAGCCATAAGCACCTAGCAAGCTAGTCACCTACTTCTCATGCACAGGGAGACACAGACAGCCACAAGCACCTAGCAAGTCACCTACTAAAATGTTAACATTGAACCATCTCTTTGATCCTCCGGATCAGATTTGCTATGTACAGTGTGGTTTTTGTACCACCATTTTACTTGTAATGCACTGCATCTGCATAGAGTTTCACTAAATATTAATATCCCGTGCAACTTTTAATTATCTTGTGTTCTCTCTCTCTCTCAAATGCTGTAGGTAAGTGTTCCATGCAGCAGCTCATCCACGTTGGTGACTGTGATATGTGGGCACTGCTCCAGCCTCCTCTCAGTCAACTTGACGAAAATCGCTTTTCTCCCTTTCAATCTCTTAACTTCTCTCAGCCATGATCATGAGGTATATTACTTCTCAATTGATCAGGTTCTATTAATTAAAATATCCAAGCTGTTAGTTTTTTCTTCTCGATCTTCCCCTTTTTTATTTTTCCTGAGAATTTATTAGTAGCTAGCTTAATTTATTAGCATATTGAAGTTCTTTTATGTCGTCCAGTGGATAAATCTTTGAACTTGTTTTTCCCTCCAGCAAAAACAAATGCATAGTCCAGACGAAGTCAATGCTCAAAAAGGCTTAGACACGCAAAGTTCATTCATTGTAATCGCTTCTGACAATGATGAAGATATTGATAAAGTTAATCCAGTGAATCGTGTCATTAATAAACGTAAGTTTAACAAATTTATCGAGCCATATTATAGTAAATTTCTTGTTAATTAATTTTTTCTACTTAATTATTAGCTAATCAATTGAACTATTTATCTCTACAGCCCCGGAGAAAAGACAGAGAGCACCATCGGCTTATAACTGCTTCATCAAGTAAGCAATATTAGTTAAGATATTATATTAATTAGTACATGATCGATTTAGCCTTGATATATTACTATGTTCTTACAAAAATATATTCAGCAGAGAAGAGATTAGAAGGCTTAAAACTGAAAATCCAAACATGGCCCACAAAGAAGCCTTCAGTACAGCTGCAAAAAATGTAAGTTAATTTTCTGGAGTAACCAATAATTAGCTAGCTAGGTAGATTTCTAAAACTCAATCATGCACTGAACCAAATCGAGGGAAATGAAAACGAGCTAGTAAATTTCGTCAAATTACTCAACTGATTTAAAGTAACATATTGTATTTTAATTCAAATTGATCACGTTTAACTCTTTTCAGTGGGCCCATTGCCCCCATGTCCACTACAAAGATGATGGAGAGACCAATGGCTTGGAAGAGGAGAACAGCACATGGTCCTCTGATGCAGCTGAGGTATATAGCTAGAGTAGCATTATACGTGGAATGTTTTTTATTTCTAGGAATGAAAATATTGTGCAGAACATGGATGACTGATCACGGAAATTTTTATTAGGTTGCTAATAATTGTTAACACACACACACACACACACACACACACAAGAGGAAAAACAGTTCAGTTTTTGAATCACTATTCCAAATCTAGTCACTTTCTAGCTAGCTAATTTCTCCATGTTACTACTACATCTAAAATTTATGAAATAGCCTTTTGGGGTCATTTTGAACGCGCTGTAAAGACTTCTGTGACACTTGACTTTTGTAGTATTTTATGCCACTGAAGTGGATGCATGACTTTCTGTTTGAAACGTTTCAGGTCAACATAGAAAGCAAAGGTTTCCATGAAAGAAAGGTTCCAAGGCATTACATGTGGGCAAAGACACCCTTTGAATGATCGAGACTTCTATAAACTGGAAAAAGAATAAAATTGTTTCTCTTTTAGGGTTTGGGTTGGGTTTAGATCTCATGTCCATTTAAGGTAGATGCTCTCGGGAATGAGATTCACTGCAAGTTGTGAAAGACTGACTGACTATAAGAAACTTAAGGTTTTCAAGGTGTTTAATGATATTGGATCGATGCATGTTCTGTCGCAAGGACACCAATTCACTTGAATGTTGATCTAGCTTGCTGTCTGATAAGATTGACTAGCGAGATTTTCTATAAATTTTCAACTAAACCCATCACTCCTATACTCATCTGTCATCACCAACCTCCTCCTCTCTGGTTTGGATAATGTCTGGTGGAGAACCCTTTCCGTCGTTCCGATGCTCGGTGCAGAGATCACAAAATTACGTCCATCCAAGAAAATTAGTGCAGAGATTTGGCATAACAAGTTACGTTTAAAATTGTTATATTAAATTAAACATATTTTAAAATATAGAGATATGTCAAAATTAATTAATGGTTAATAAACAAGAATTATTTAAAATCTATTTTGCATTTAGGAATCATGTTAAGAAACATGTGACACTTAGGGAGGGGTGAAGTTAAGATTATAAGGTAGGCCAGTTAAAATTAATATAATAAAATATAATATTTGTTTTAATTTATTGTACATGAATATGAATTGTTAAAAAAATTGTATAATTTAATTTTATTCAAATATCTTACTACAGACATATAATGATTTTTGTATAAGGAACAATGTTTGGAGTAATACCAAATTAAATCAAAATAATAAAGTTAATTTCATCTTTATAATGTATCAACTACTTTAATATCTTCATAATGTATCAACTACTTTAATATTGCTGGTCTTTATACATATTAAATATAAACACACAAAATATATATATAAGAAATATTAGCTAAAGCAAAAAATTATTTATGTTTGATAAACTTTTAAATAAAGTAAAAAATAATAAATAATGATTCTTACATATTTATTTTAATTGTACTCGTCGTTTTTTCATAGAATAGAAATCATCGATTATTATATTAATTGTGAATCTTTCAACAATTTCTTTTTCTATATAGACAATGAAATAATTTGTAAGAAAATTATCCTCCATCTGATTATAAAGTCTTGTTTTAACAATCTTCATCGCTGAAAAAACTCATTTAGTAATTTCTGTTGAAACAGGAAGAGTCAAAATAAATTGAATCAACATGTCAACTAGTGGATAAATTATTGATTTTTCTATTTCAAGTAATCATTGATATAAATTAGCAATCGATGACATGTTCTTTTCAATAATTTCTTTTTCTATATAGATAATAAAATAATTTGTAAGAAAATCATCCTCCATCCGATTGTGAAGTCTTGTTTTAACAATCTTCATTGTTGAAAAGCTCATTTAATAGTTTCTGTCGAAATAGAAAGAGTCAAAATAAGCTGAATCAACATGTCAATTAGTGGATAAATTGTTAATTTTTCTATTTCAACTAATCCGGATAAATTGTTAATTTTTCTGTTTCAACTAATCCTTGATATAAGTCAACAATCGATGACATGTTCTTTAACTTTGGATAATTAGTTACATCAAGCTCATAATGCTGCAACTGAAGTTTCAAATGAATTTTTTCTTGGTTAGAAAAATTTTCAGGATAAAACTTGTTAACAAGTAAGCCTATATCTTCAACATTGAATAATTTATAGCAATTTCTGAGATCTAAGGTTGTTAATTAGTACTTACAAATACATTTTTTATCAAGGTTTTATGTTATCATTTTGCACTTGAAGTATCAATAACTCCTTAACTAAAGCATGTTTTATAATAATATATCTAATAATATAGGATACCTTTAATTTGTGGTAAATGTTAATTTTAAATGCAGACCTATTGACACGACTAAAAGATTGATGTCTTCTCCCAAGTGCAGGAGTGTCGAAGTAACAAATAACCCGGCAAGACTAGGGTCGAACCACAGGGAGGTTAATTGTACAAATTATAAATAACAATAATAAAACAACAACAACAACAACAACAGCAACAACAACAACAACAACAACAACAACAACAATAATAATAATAATAACAATAATAATAACAACAATAATAATAACAATAATAGTAGTAGTAGAAATACTAATAATAATAGTAGTAGTAGTAGTAGTAATAATAATAATAATAATAAAGAAAAAGAAGGAGAAGAAGAAGAAGATGATGAGAACTTTGAGATGGAATATTAATGTAATGATTAAACAATGATAATAACAAATGTCAAGGTTAGAGGATCCACTAATGGTATGTCAAACAAGTATAGTATAAACTCTTATTATTCAATTGGAAACCACACACAAAGGAGGTTCCAATCAGATTATAGATTGTTAACATGATTACATTAATCATCTTATTCGATTAATGCTAATACTTGTAAATCTTGTCAAGCATTCATGGTTATAACTTATGTTAACAACAAATCAAGTTCCTTTCATAGCTCAGGTGTTGGTTATACCATACAATATGAGCTATGAAAGTGCTAAGCATTTGTTGTACCAAGTGTTGTACAACATAAATCAAGATTAGTTATTTAACAAGCAAAGTATTAAAGAGTGAACAAGATAACAAATACAAAACATGTTAGTATCAAACATTAAAGTCCATATTAAGTTTACACTATACTTATTCTTACACCATTAGTGTAACCTTTTCACCTTGACATAACTAACTTAGCTAGACATAATGAAAGAAAGAAAAATAGATAAACAAAATAAGAACATAAAAGTTAACTAAGTAAAGGAAAGGAAATGAAAGGCATAAACTTAATATTAATGAAAACAAGATAAAAATTAACTAAGTAAAGGAAAGGAAATGAAAGGCATAAACTTGATATTAATGAAAGCAAAGCATAAGCAATATAAAAAAATACAAAGAGAGAAAGCAAAAACATGATCTTGATCTGGAGACCAAAATGCCTAAATGCATGACAAATGCCTCCTTTTATAGGCCAAAATTGGAAACTATTGATTTGATGACTAATTGATGAGTGGGTGACCAACTCTTGACTTGGTGACAATCCTTATCTTCTCTTGTATGCCCAAAACATCATTGATAACGTTAAAATTAGAGCCAATTGAAAACATCAAAGTTGTAGGAAATTGTCTCAGCTTTCTTGTATAAAAAATTCAGCTCATTTCAACTTTTAGAACTCCAGATATGGACCAAACAGGGAATAGTGCTCGGGCGAGAAGACAGATTCAGACTTCTTTGTTGTTGCTCCAATTTGGACTTGAAACTTGGGCTCCATATGAAAGTTGTAGGCCTATGTCTTACCTTTCTATCCATATAAAGTGGACCTAAATCTGAGATCTACAACTCCATATATGACCCAATTACCGAACAATGTTCCGGTTTGGATTGCACCAGCATCTCTTTTCTCAGTTTGGCCATCTCTTTGTCCGTTCAATTTCAGTTTTTAAAGTCATCAATCAATCCTTTCATTTATGTGATAGGCCTGCATTTAAAATGAACATTTACCACAAATTAAAGGTATCTTATATTATTAGATATATTATTATAAAACATGCTTTAGTTAAAGAGTTATTGATACTTCAAGTGCAAAATAATGATATAAAACCATGATAAAAATGCACTTTTAAGTACTAATCACCCCCTGATTAGTACTTAAAAGTGCATTTTTATCATGGTTTTATATCATCATTTTGCCCTTGAAGTATCAATAACTCCTTAACTACTTCAAGTGTAAAATAATGATATAAAACCATGATAAAAATGCACTTTTAAGTACTAATCACCCCCTGATTAGTATGCATA